CACCAGGTGGCGCTGTTGGATCACTAGAGGAGTGGAACTTGCAATGTCCAGCGCTCGTCACCGGGCGGCGCTGTGGGATCCCTGGTCGCCGCCGGGTGGCGAGGGAGGAGGGGGAAGGGGAAGGGAAACAGAAAGTTCTCCCAATGGAAGAAAAAACTCACGACTCGGTGAAGGTCCCGCGGTGAAAAACCAAGACTGCAACCAGCCGGCAACTGTGCAGAGAGATAGCAGCAAAAAACTCCTCTCCCACAGGGAAAAAACAAAGGAGAAACCAGGCAGTCTCTCCTCTCTGCTGCAGCCTCCCCTCCTGCTCCCGAGCTGAGCTCCAACCCCCCAAAACCCCACCTCTTTCCACACACACACTCTGGCCTTTTTCCTAACTCCTCCTCCTTCATTGCCAGGAGACTAATTCTCGGTCGTTTAGGACTCAGGCCGACTCTTTTGTTTACTTGATGGCTCTTTAACAGCATTCATGCAAGGGGGGGGGGGAAGGGGAAAGGAAAGACAAAATTCCTTTTTAAATCAGAACTATGACACCTCTTTATATGCAACTCAGTTGCAAAGGGTAATTGAAAATTGAAAACTACACTACTTTTTGACTTTTTAGCTTCTCCAGGCTTTTATTGCAACTTGTCTGAAGTATCCCACAAAACTTCACTTAAAAAATTAATAGATTTCTAATGGTTCCTGTTCAACCGTGTAACCTACATTTCCATGCTTGCAGTATTTTCTGAATATCAAATGAGCTTTCAGGTGACTTATAGACCTATCTCAAGTCTTTATTTGAATAAAAGAGCTACCCACATGTTTGAAGAAGTGTAGTGTGCATGTGTTTTATATGTAAAAGGAAAGGATATATACACAGAAACACGTTCCAGCTACATATATAATACACATTGTATATATAATGGATATATATATTGTGTTTAGAATCATAGAATATCCCAAGCTGGAAGAGACCCACAAGGATCACCAGTCCAACTCCTGGCCCTGCACAGGACACCCCAACAATCCCACCCTGTCCCTGAGAGTGTAATCCAAATGCTCCTGGAGCTCTGGCAGCCTTGGGGCTGTGCCCACTGCCCTGGGGAGCCTGTTCAGTGCCCAACCACCCTCTGGGGGAAGAACCTTTTGCTGAGATCCAACCTGAACCTGCCCTGGCACAGCTCCAGCCACTCCCTCAGGTCCTGTCACTGGTTGTGGGAGTGAAAAGATTGGTGCCTGCCTCTCCACTTCCCCTTCTGAGGAAGTTGGTAGAGGTTTTTTTTTTACAAATGCAAATTCTTCAACTCATTAATGTCAAAATCTCCACCAAATCAGGCTCCCTGTGGTTCCTTAGGCCTCACAAGCAGTGAGTGTCAGACCAGACGCAGAGCTGGGCATCCTGAGTTGTAGTCCTTTGAGCAGTTATGAGCTGGGAGCCTCCATCCATCACACACCTCCAGACTTGCTTATTGTTTTGAGACTTTTTTTTAAAAAAAACTTTTGTGTTGCCTTTCAGGAACCGCTGCGATGAGTATCGCACGCTGTATGTGAGGAGGAACAAGAAGGAAACGAGCGACAGCCAGCTGGCCCAGCAGGCCCTAAAGGAGGAGCTGAAAAAGGAAGAGAAGATGGAGGAGAGGAGGCTGGAGGAGATCTGTGAGAAGGAACTATTGGCTAAGGATCACCAAGAGGAGCTGGAGAAGCAGAAAGCATCGTGGCAGATTCAGGAGATGCAGAATGTGCTCGATGCCCAGGTGGTCGAGCTCAGCGCCCGCAAAGTGGAGGAGGAGCAGCTGAAGAAAGAGGAGGCTGAATGGCTGGTAATTTCCCTATCATTCTGTATTCAGGGTTGTGTATAAGGCCCTCCTAATGATAGGCTTACTAGACATTTAGACTAATCCATGCCTTATTTGTATCTTCACTGATTCCATTAGTATCTGAGCCTGTCCTATTATGCTAAGCCTCTTTTCCAGAGCTGTGTCAAAGGCATTCCTGTTTACAGAGGGAAATACATCTTTTCAAACTTGGCACTGTAAAGGAATTTGACCTTCAAAGCCTCTCAGAACCGTTGTGGGAAATGGAAACATTTTTAGGCTTTTGCCAGACATCTTTGCAGTTTTCTGATTTCCAGTTTCCTGCAGGATAGCTGGAGAATCTTGTTTCCCAGCTGATATGTGTAACAGCAGATCTCAGACTACAATACATATGTTTAATCATCGTGGTAAGTGCAGTGGAAGAAAGCAGCACAGAGGGGAGGGTGAGCCAGGAGCTGAAGGTGACAGCAGGGCAGGCAAGTAGTCTGTCCTCCTATGCAGGAATCCCATGGCACCTGAAGGAAGGGAAGGGAGCAGAGCAGCTCTGCTGGCAGTAACTGGAGTCATCCAACAGTCCAGACTGCTTGGCAGGTCTGTAGTGATGGAGTCCAAGACGGAGCCAGCAAGTCAAGTCAGCAGGTGTGGATGAGGATCGACCTCAGGCAGAGGTGTACCTGCAGCACGGCTCATGTAGGCACCAAAGGCAAGAGGCTGAGCCCAGCTGCAGCTCCTCAGCCCTTTCTCACATGCTCCCTGCCAGCACTGATCCCAGGCTGATCGGGGCTGGCCAAGAGCACAGGCACCCAGGGCCTTGCGGGGAGGCTGCAGAGCCTGTTGGTGCACTCAGGACCCGGAGAAACATTTATGTGAAAAATCCCAACTGCTTGTGCTCCAGCAGACTCAACTTCAGAATCCATGCCCTTTTTTTATTTACTTTATTGTCTTCAAAAATTAGCAAGCAGCACCTAAGCTCTCTCACCTGTTAGACCTGGCCACTGTTGGGTGTCACATCATGGGGAGTCATTTGGCTACTTTGGCCCAGCTTTTTGGCCACTACCCTCTCTTTAGCTCATCCCTCCCCACAAGTCTGGCTGTAGTGGCTTTAGTGGGGCTTGCTAGTTTAGTATTCTGTGTTGACTTCGAGTTATGGGAGACTGTTTAGCTCATTTTGCAGCTATTTACATGTAGAGATTGAATAGGATACTTTTTGTCAGACGCTGGAAGCTGATGCTGGCAACTAGGCTTGAAGGGGGAAGGGGTCGAAACCGGGCTCTCCAGTGATCAACCTAGGGATGGAAAGCCTGAGTTAAGAATTAAATCAACAGCCCACCTGAAGTGCATGTACACTAACACACGCAGTATGGGCAACAAACAAGAGGAGCTGGAAGCCACTGTGCAGCATGAAGGCCATGATGTCGCCATCACAGAAACGTGGTGGGACGACTCACATGACTGGAGTGCTGCTATGGAAGGCTACAAGTTCTTCAGAAAGAACAGGCAGGGTAGGAGGGGTGGAGGGGTGGCTTTATATGTTAGGGAGTCTCTTGACTCTGTTGAAATTCAGGTCAGCAACGATAAGGTTGAGTGCCTGTGGGTCAGAATCAGGGGGAAGACCAACAAG